GGGGGGCGCGAGCACTTCCGGGCTCTGGAGCATTTCCTTGTTTGTCCAGTGTCCCGACCGCACATCGGTCGGGACGCGGGACAAAAAGAAAATATCGGGACAGTCCCGATAATATCGGGACTTCTGGTCATCCTACGTAATCCCCTCCCCCATAGCCATTTTTTAAAAAAGTTTCTTTGCATAGAGTAGAGGTGGGCAAACTACAGCCTGCGGGCCACATCCAGAGCCCGTGGCTCCTCCCCCGATGTCCCTCCTCCCCCACAGCCACGCCGGCAGCGCTCTGGGTGGCGGGGTTGCGCACTCCTGCAGAGCAGCGCGGCAGCGTGTCTGGCTCCGGCCGGGCAGCGTGGCTTCCAGACATGCTGCTCTGAGTGGTATGGTTGGGGGGCTGGATAAGGGGCGGAAGTTCGGGAGGGGGCGGTCAGGGGATGGGGGGGGTTGGATAGGGGGTGGGGTCCTGGGGGATGGTTAGGGGTAGGGAGTCCTGGGAGGGGGCGGTTAGGGGATAAGGAGGAGGGGGGGTTGGATGGGTCGGAGGTTCTGAGGGGGGCAGTCAGGGGGCGGGGGCCAGGTTGTTTGGGGAGGTACAGCCTTCCCTACCCGGCCCTCCATACAGTTTTGCAAACCTCGGGCCAAAAAGTTTGCCCACCCCTAGTATAGAGCTAGAGATCAAACTATTGATGAGCTATGGGTCAAAGTGGTTTCAGTCTGACAGCTTTTGCCCAAGGTAGTGCATGGCCTCTACTAAATCTTTAGAGAACTCAATTGAGCATAGTATTTAAGAAAAATGTACATTTTTTAAACTAGACATTCTCCAATACAGAAAAGTGAGTAGAGGTTTCCCTCACTGCCATTTTCTGTTCTTTAGAGCTTGACGCTTATATCTGAACAGTTAGATTATTTTCAGAGGGGTAGCCGCGTTAGTCTGTATCAGTAAAAACAACAAGGAGTATGCCCAAATAAATTTGTTAGGCCTTGGCTACACTTGAGAGTTACAGACCTTGGGTACACTCGGGCGGCAGCGCTGTGAAGTGCAAGTGTAGTTGCGCCGCCAGCGCTGCGAGAGCACTCTCGCAGCGCTGTATGTACTCCACCTCTCCGAGGGGAGTAGCTTGCAGCGCTGCAGGCTCTGATTACACTGGCGCTTTACAGCGCTGTACTCGCTGCACTCAGGGAGGTGTTTTTTCACACCCCTGAGCGCAGCAAGTTGCAGCGCTGTACACCACCAGTGTAGCCAAGGCCACAGTGCAATAAAGCCGCCCCCATCGCTGTAACTCACTCCCTGTCCACACTGGCAAGGCATTTGCAACGCTGTATCTCCATGGCTACAGCGCTGCAGGTACTCCACCTCCCTGAGAGGAATAACAGCTGCTGCGGAGTGGCTGAGACGCTGGTGCTCCAGTGTAAACGGGGAGTAACCTTATTACGCAGTGATTGACCTCCGGAAACTCCCCATAATCCTTTTAAGTGAAGCTTCCTCTCCTTGTTTTGTTGTGATGCCTCTCTTTGTTTTGTTGTGAACTCCGGACTCCCGGAGCTGCTTATCAAAAAACCAAACAGCTACTGTTTGCTGTGAATGAGTAGAGGCAGGCGGGGGGGCTCCCTTTGGAATGCCCACAGCTAATGTTTGCTTGAAGAGAGAGGCGGCTTGGGGGGGGGGGGGGGGGGAGGTCCGTTTCTGCGAGTGGCTGCTTATCTGGTCTGTGAGGAAAAAAACAAACAGTTGCTGTTTGCTTTCAGTGAGTGAGAGAGGGGTGGAGGAGGGAGAGGGGTCGGAACTTGCAAGGCAGGGCAGGGTGCGTGTCCGCACTCCAAGAACCCACTCTTTCTCCTCCCACGCTCCCTGTCACACTCCACCCCACCCCCACCCCTTTTGAAAAGCACTTTGCAGCCACTTGAACGCTGGGATAGCTGCCCATAATGCACTGCTCCCAATGCCGCTGCAAATGTGGCCACAACAGTGCGCTGGCAGTGTGGACAGACTGCAGCACTTTCCCTACTCAGCCGTACAAAGACAGGTTTAACTCGCAGCGCTGTACAGCTGCAAGCGTAGCCAAGGCCTGAATCTCTAAAGTGCCACAAGGACTCCTCGTTGTTTTTAGATTATTTTGAAATTCGGTGCGCCGCATGAGGGTGCTGTGAGCTCACCTTTCAATTAACTTACAGCTAACTATACATTAATAACAAGCCCCACAAAGGAGTCATGGCTGGCAGTTTTATTTTGGGCGGGGGAGAAGGGAATGTAATGAAACTATTTGAGAAGGAAAAAATTGACATGCTTCCTGGGAGGGACGGGCTATAGGGGATAGTGGAGAGGGGGATAAATGGGGATGGGAAGTTGGTGCCTCAGAGAGAGGCTGTGTAGCCTACCACCACCACCCTACTTTAATATGATCAACACAACCTATTTCTCCTTAACCTCGTTCTCTGAAATGGCTGAACTGTTTTTGTTATGCCTTTCCAAAAAAATTCAGTGTGAGGCAGACACCCAGCATGGAAAACTTCATACTTCAATTTTTCAGGCTGGCAAAGCTGTAAATCAACTGAAAACA